TTTTTTTTTTGGTTGACCTCGCCGTGAAATCTTGGAGTCGTTTCCTGTGCTCCAGTGCCTATCTCTCCTCGACGCTCCACCATGGGGCTGTTAGAGCTCTGCGCTCGCGCCCTCGGTCGGAACTTCGGACCACTCAACGCGTCGCGCGAAAATCCGGCCCTCGGCAGCCCAGAGGCGGGCGGCGTGACTGCTGTAATTTAGACGCTTGAGACTGACTGCCTGCTGCTGCTGGTCCGTTCGGGGGGGAAAGCCCAGGTGGAGATTCGCTGCGTGCGGCTTGGGTGCAGCAAAGGGTCCCAAGAGCAACACTTCGCTCTCCCGCACTTGGCTGCTGCGCCGGAAATGCAACACCAGATCACCACCTTCACTTCCACCCGTCGTCATCCTCGCTCCTACACCTTGCAACTACTCCATCCCGAACAGCATGTCGCGCTCCACACGGCGCCGTCGCATCAATGACAGCGAAGACGGAGACGAGGACGAGGCGGTGTCCGATCAGGATGTCAGACCCTCATCACAAAGACGCAGGCAGACTTCGCGAGCAGACGCAGCTGCCCCTGCCGCTGGTCCAAGTCGTTCGACAGACGGCGGTGATGCTTTCAATTTCGATGTCGACCTGCGGCCTCATCCTCTGAGTCGAGACCAGGTGCCCAACTTGAAGAACCTCATGACCGAGCTCCGGAATCAGGACCAAAACATCCGACGCTGCATCGAGCTGCTCAACGACACCGCCGAACAAGTCGCAGAGGCATTCCGAACGCACGATGAATGTGCCGAGCTGCAACAGGCCGAACTCGACCTGCGCGAGCTCATCGATGTGCAGGCCGAGAAGGCCATCCGACGACGGGTGCTCGAAGAGATCACACAGGACCTCCAATCAGGCATCTCCCTCGTAAGCGGCCTCCATTCTTGTCTCCTCTCTTATACTGCCTTCTGACTATCTTCGCATCATCATATGGATAGGACGATCCGGCGAAGCGATACAAGGACGAGGTGCAAGCGCATCTCGACACGTACAACAAGCAGACGTCTCGGCGCAAGTATGCCAAGAACACCGACTTTCACAACTTCAAGAATGCCGTCTGGGTCGCGCGCGAGGAAGGCGCCATGCCTCCCGTTCGAGACCTCATCCCCGCTGAAGACGGCGACGAAGACGACTCGGACGACGAAATCATTGCTGGTGGTCAGACTCAGAACTTCCGCTGTCCACTCTCTGCCAACCTTCTGGAAGATCCGCTCACAAAGTACGTCCCTTTCTCCCTCATCCCACCCCACGCGTTCTTGACGCTGACTCATTGCTGTTTGCTTGGGATGTCAGTTCGAATTGCACGCACTCGTACTCGCGTGCAGCCATTCAAAACTACGTCGAGGCAGGCAACAACAAATGCCCCGCTTCCGCATGCACAGCCGCCGTCTCGAGAAGCTCTCTCAAACCCGATCCAGGCCTCGCCAAAAAGGTCGCCGCCTTCAAACGACGCGAGGAAGAACGTGCCCTGGCTCGTCGACAGACTTCCACCATTCTCTACTGATATCCAACTTGCGCGCTCACTCCAATCATACACCTGCATGCAAGCGCTTTGTGGAACAAGTTCACGATTTGGCAAAGGGGGGAAGGTGTAGGGCAAGGGATGAGTGGAACAACGTGAGCCAAGCGACGCAGCAATCAGGCGCTTTATGCGATGGCGCTCATGATGAGCTGGCACGCTTCGTCCGAGTCGGCGCGCACCGACAGCTCCATCGTCACACCCTGACCCGAGGCAAACGTCATCCTGCAACGAGCCAGCGCCTTGACGGGCTTGCCCGGGTTCGCCACGGCTCCCGACAGGGTGAGCGTATGCACCGACGTCGACGATGGCGACTCGGTGCCTCCCAGCGGCATCATGCCCATCAGCTCGATCAGCGTATCGCACGCCGTCTTGAGGCTGTCGAGTGCAGTAAGCGCAAACGTCTCGGTCGCCGAGGGCGCCGACGCCAGCTTGTCCCACTCTTCGCTAAAGTTGGCGTACACCGGCTTGACGTAGTCCGCCACGCCGAGCTCGAGCTCTTCGGTCTGGTATTCGTCGTCGTATCCCTCCTCCTCGGGCTCGCCCGACGACGGGTCCACCTCCTTCGACACAAAGCGCAGCGTGTTGGACAGCGTAGCCTGCGCGTAGTCCGTCGCGCCTCCTTCGCGTGTGAACGAGACGTAGACTGTGCCGCTTGGGTTTTGCGCCGACAGCGCAGGCACTGTGACGATAAAATCCTCGTGCAAGCCAGCCTCTGCAGCTCCACCCACCACCACCGCCACGTTCTCCAGCACGGTATCCGGCAGCGTGTTGGTGACGTTGTACTGGATCACCACGTGCTCGGCAAAGACGTGCTTGACCGCGCTCACCACATACTCGGTCTCGGACTCGGTGAGCTCGACAGCCTTGGACGAGCTCTTGAGCACCGGCCCGTACTCGGCAAACTGCGGCACCGCCGCAAGCTGCTGGGCGTACAGGCTTTCCGAGTCGCCCGAAGACGTCACCTTGGATGTCGAAGCACCCTTGTTCGAGTTGGCATGCACGCTCTGCGAGCTGTCGGCAGCCATCGCCACGCTGGCTGTAGCCTCGCTCTTGGCCCGCAGCGCCTCTTGGCGCGCCTCCTCGCGCGTGACGCGGGGGATCTTGGTGATGTCGAATCCGCTCGTCGACGACGAGGGGTCCGAGACGTACGACTGCAATGCCGACTCGAGCGCCGTGAGCTTGTAGCTCGACTCGTCGTTGACAACCTTGGCGGCGAGCCTCGACTCGCGCAGAACGCGCAGGTACATGGCGGCACGGTCGCGCACCTCGTCGTCGACGTCGTCGAGGCATCGCTCGAGCAGCACCTTGATCCTCGCGTTGAGCGACTTGTCGGCGATACCGAATTTGGCGAGCGAGCTGACGGCAGCGGCGCGCACGATGGCGTTTTCGAGGATGACGCGGTTGTAGATGTAGCGGATGTACTTGTGGGGCTGGGGCATCTTGGGACCCTCGACGCCGAGCAGATGCAAGATGCGCACGCTCAGCTTGGTGAATTCGCAGTCCTCGATGAACTCGCAGAGGTGAGCGAGCGCGGTCTCCTTGCAGTCGCCGATGAACTTGATCATGTCAAAGATGGCCTCGACCACGGCGCGCTTGTACTCGAAGCCGCCCTCGTCGCGGAGGACGCCGGCGAGGAAGCTGAGCATGATGGTCTGCTTGGATGGGAACTTGAGGCACAGGCTGCGGATGGCGTCGACGACGATCACCTTGAACTCGTCGCTGATTTCGGACATGAAGCCGCTGATCTGCTTCATGAGGCGGTCGACGGAAGCCTCGTTGCCGGTCTTGAGCAAGGTGGTGATGGCGTACGTAGCGATGCTCCTGTTGGTGTCGGTGATGAGGTTCTCCATGTCCACGTTGCACGTCTGTACGGCAGCGGGCTGCGTCTGCGCGAGCTTGGCGAGGGTGCGGATGGCGGCGAACTTGAGCGTCGACTTGGGGCTCGAGAGGAAGAGCTGCAGCACGGCGATCGGGCGGTAGAGGTCCTGGGTGGAGACGTTCTTCATCTCGCAGATGACGCGCGCGGCTTCGTAGTTGACCATGTCGGACTTGTGTCGGAGCCAACCTTCGAGGAGCTCCATCATGGGTGCACGCAAGTTGGGATCCTCCTCGGCGACCTTGGCGGCGTAGCGGACGAGCATGCAGATGGCGTAGGGACTCCTGAGAACGCTACCCTGGCCGCTGGATGCGCCGCCGCGGCCGCCGCCGAGCTGCTGCACAAGCTTGGTGACGGCCATGCGGTCGCCCTGACGAATGAGGTAGAGAAGGCCGAGGGCGTGGTACTGGGTGATGTAGCTGCTGCTGGCGACGGCCTGGTAGTTGCTTTGGGACTGGGCCTGCGACGAGCCGTAGCCGGAGAAGCCAAGGTAGCTGCCAGCGCCGGCAAAGCCACTGGAGAAGCTGGCGCCAGACGAGCTCTTGGAATTGATGGCTTCCTGAGCTTCATTGCCCCACCTGCGGACGACATCCCTGGCGGCGATCTGGAGCTGGTAGGCGGAAACAAGGGCGGCGGAGCTGATGGAGGTGTTCTTGTCGACGATGGCAGACTTGAAGAATCGCTCGAGACCTTGGACCATGGAAGGGTCGACGACTCGGCTGAGGCCACGGATGGCGTTGGGGCGGTAGATGACCTCTACGTTGGGCTGCATATCCTTCATGATGGAGGCTGTGACCATGATGACGTCGTCGGCGAAGGGGCAGAGCTCCTTGATGGCGAGATAGACCATCTGCCTGAGCGCAGGGTCCTTGTGCTGGAAGAGCTTGGTGGCGCCGAAGAAGAGGGTGGTGGCCTCCTGTCGGCTGAAGGACTCGCCCATGTAGAGGAGGTAGATGACCTTTGTGAGTAGGATGCGGCATTTTCGAGGACTGATGGGAGTCTCGTTGAAGACACGGGCTTCCTGGATGACCGAAGTCTTGTCCTGGTAGAAGCCGGTGGAGCCGACCTCCTCGTCCTTCTTGAACGACATGGTGGGAGGGTAGGCAGACGCCGCGATGGGACCGGGCTTCGGATGTGGACGGAAGCTAGTGCAGGCGGCCCACGACGTCGAAGGCAGGCGAGATGGAGGATGCAGTGAGACGGCAGCGGAGAAGGTGAGAAGAGTGTGTGTCGATTGGATCGTGCGGAGTGAGCCTGCTGGTCAACGCGTGCCCAACACTGGCCAGCCAGCCAGCCAACGCACGCGGGAATGCGGCGGGCAGGTGGACCTTCCAGCTCAACACCCTTGGGTGGGCCCGCGCTGCGATTTAGCTGAGAGACACACACACCCCCAGCCCGACGCGGGTGAGCTGGAGGCTCGACTGATGGTCGGTGCGCTGCTGCCTCGATGCTGTGCCTAATTTGTGATCGGGTCAAGGACGCAAAGGAGTATTATAGATCGACACGTAAGCATGACGATGAAAAATATTGTTCTCTCGTACGCGTTAACATACAAATTTTAGGAACAAGAATTAGTCATCGGGAACCCGATGGCTGTATCCTTACCACTATCGTTCGTATCGCACCCGCGATACGGTCTTGCGATGAAGCATCGTGTCATCACTGCCCCAAATGACGAAGGAAGATGCCTGCATCTCGAGCTGACTGGCTCGAGCAAGGGATTCCAGGCAATCGACGCTGGTGTCGGTGAAGCGGGCGGGCGCCTGCCGAATCACCCGGCGCTAAAATCACGTCAGTCATCCCGAAAAAGAGGCAATTTGCGACGTGGGCTGGTGGGTCCAATTGACCGCCCTCTGCAACTGCAGCCCACTCCTCAGCTTTGTAGGCTGTGCCGTATCTCGCGCAACCCACGAGCCCCGCCTGAGCCTGCCTGGTTCAGCGGTGTCACACTCGTTTGAGTTCTACGAGCGTCTTATCGGAAGCGTCTCCGTCGACGCTGGCTTTCAGACCCGTGACGAATCGGTCACGGCGAGCAATGCGTAAAGACGGCTTTGATTGGTGGGACCGTAGGCATGGTGGGCAGCGAGGAACTGCAGGTGGTGCATCTTGCAGCGCTCCACGGACGAGCTCCGGATTTTACGAGGCCGACCTGCTGCAGATTGGCTGAGCTGGAAGAAGACGCACCTCTGCACCCTGTCCACGAGCACACCCACCCCGCTTTGAGCTGGCTGGCTGAGGATCGGCATCGGCAGGATTTCGGAGAGAACCAGCAGCAATCGTCCGTTTTGTCGTGCTGCCATCCTCACAGTCAGCCGCACGGCGCCGACCCGCCACGAGAAGCTTCTGCGTACCCAAAAAAGCGCTTCGACCTGGCTTTGAGCCCTTTTGCCAAAATTGAGCCTCGCTTGGGTGGTGCCGATTCGGAACTTGGGTTTGGTTGTATGGCTCAGGCGGCGGCTCCCATCCGGGTCGAGGAGGGAAAAAATCCGTTGTTGCCGGCCTTGGCTATGCAGGCTGGCGGTGTTAACAGCGGGCCCCTCGCCGCGTGCGAATCACAGGCAAGCTGAAATATGCACCTCGAGTCGCTCTAGCCGTTACGACCTGCCCTCTCCAACCTCCTCGCATCCGGTCGTCGTCGTATTCGTCATTTCGCTCCTCTCTCTCGTATCTCTTCGTTCTAGCTTGCTCTCCAGCGCATCAACTACCGCCCACCGATCGAGTCAAGCAGGCGCACCTTGACCCGTCCCGCCATCGGCTCTCTCATCGTCGATTGCGCTTTCTTCTAATCCGCGGCCCCCGTTCGGTTCACGCATCGTCGTCGTCCGACTCGGCGCAACCGGCACATCCCCTTCTACACCACCACCTCTGCCCGTACTTCCATCTTTTCTAGGCTCTCCGCATCTTTCCAACCGCCGTCGCTGCATCTGCCGCACCAACCCGACCTTACCACTCTGCTGATCGCTTGACGCAGGCTTTCGCCCTCTCAGCCTACATCCAAGCTCCAAAGGCACGCAGCGAGGATCCGGCCACAGTAGCCATGCCATTCGAGGATAGCCCCAACTCGTTCCTCTTCGGCCTCAACCAATTCACCTCTCCGCCCGCCGACAATCAGAACGAAAGCGGCTCCAACTCGCGCTCCGACAGCATGCTCGCCAACATCGACGCTTTCGTCACCTCGGACGACGTCGCCAGCGGCTCGGCTCACAACGATGCCACCGGCGGTCAGGCTCCCAACTTTGCCGATCAGCTCGCCCTCTGGACCAACGCCAACTTCAGCTTCGACGGTCCCACCGGCCATGCCTTGCTCGGTGACGAGGAGAAGGAGAAGGAGGAGGCAGAACACAACCGTCGCCGCGAAGACGAGAATCGTCGCAACCAGGAGGAGGAGCGTGAACGCCTCGCCAGGAACGCAGCCGCAAGCTCGCGAGGAAGCCATGCACTGCGAGGCAAGGCTCGCGACATCGACTCCAACCCTGCAAGCCCCTATACGCCCACTTCGCAACCCCATAATGCATCTGCCCATGCCTCGCAGCAGCATGCACCGCAGCAGCAGCAGCAGCACCACCACCACCAGCANCGCCCACTTCGCAACCCCATAATGCATCTGCCCATGCCTCGCAGCAGCATGCACCGCAGCAGCAGCAGCAGCACCACCACCACCAGCAGAGCTTCTTTCCTGGCGCTCCCAACTTCAATGCTGCCGTCAGGCCGTCTCAACCCACCAATCCTGCCGGTGCTGGAATTAGCAACCCCTTCCAGCTTTTCAGCGCATTCCCAGGCTTGCAGCAGCTCGGCGCGCAAGCCGCCCAGTCGCCCCAGCAGCCAGCTCCCCAAGCCGGCTTTGGCGCTCCCGGCTCGCTCGACATGACTTCCGCCCTCGCCCTGCAGCACCTTCTCGCCAGCAATCCGCTGGCCCTCGCCAGTCTGAGCCAGCTTGCTGGTCTCACCAACCCGCAACTCCAATCCCATCTCGCGGGCATCGTCAACGGTGGTGCCGGTATCGGTGGCGTGAATGGGTCCCAACAGACGCCAGCGCCGCAACCAGGTCAGCCGCATCCGAGCGCCGCCGCTTCTAGTCCCAATCCCACTGCATGGCTTGCTGCCCAGTCCCTGGCAGCCTCTCGTGGCAACAGCATCAGCGCCCCGTCCCCTCACGTTGCCAACTGGGCCGCTCCAGGCGCAGGCGCAGGCGCAGGCGCCCCAATTGCGCCCGCGTCGGTTCCACCTGCAAATGTGCCCGGTGCTTCAGTCAACGGCACGCATTCGGCGGCCAGCAGCTCGACCGGCGCACCTTCGCGCTCGGACGCTCTGCAGGCAGGCGAGGCGAACGCCTCTGCGTCTGCCTCTGGATCGGCGCCTTCCAAGAAGAAGCGTACCAGCACTTCGGAAGGCAAGAGAGCCCAGCACGATGACCCCGACGACTCGGACGAGATCGGCGGCAGGCTGGACGACATCGAACGACGATACGAGATTCCGCCGCTCAAGCTCATCGACACTGGCAATCCGGAGGCCGATGCGGAAGCCAACCGAATGGCCATCGAAGAAGACAAGCGCAGGCGAAACACGGCTGCGTCGGCACGCTTCAGGATCAAGAAGAAGCAGAGGGAGGCTGCGCTCGAACACGCCGCCAAAGAGCTGCAGCAGCGACTCGCCGACCTCGAAGCCGAGAACGCACGTCTGCGCACCGAGAACGGCTGGCTCAAGAGCTTGATCACCGTGCGTCCCGACCAGGCCATGTCGGGCGGTCTGGATCAGAGCGCTGTGCCCAACCCCTTCTCAAATCCTGCCGGGCCCAGCGGTACCAGTTCGCACGCCTCGGGTCACTCGACCGCACAAGCCTCGCCTGCGATTGGCCAGTCCAACGGCGACCTCGGAGGTGCCGCGAATCACTTTAGCCATGACGCGCCCGACCGCCAGAGCGGACTGCACCCGCGCGGCGTCGGCACTTCCGCTGGCGACGACACCAACGAGCCCAAACGCGCCGCCAACAAGAACAACGCCGCTGCAAACAGCTCGCAACTCAAGCGAGACCGCGAGGACTAGATCGCAACGCACAGTCAATCTCGACGGTGGGCTCCAACAGCCTGCCTCGTGATGTACGCGGTCTTGATGCTCCTTCAATTCTTTCAGCTCTTTTATCGTCGTACCCATGCTGTTCCGATTTTCCCGTCTCTTGTAGCAACAGTAACTCAACGCGCGGTCCTCCAACACGGTCCTTTTCGAGCGCGATTCGATATACCCACCCGCTTCCCTTCTCTTTCTCTCTTGCCACGCAGGTGACTTGCACGCGTCGGAAGCTTGCGTGGAATCAGAGTGTCATTTCAAGTCCCTTGAGTGTGGTGCGGTCTTGGCATGAGAGTTGGGATTCTAACGTTAGACGATGATGAGGTCGTCGCGACAGCATGCGCAGTAAAGCAATTCGTCGTTGGCGAACTGCGGGCGGACGCGTTGAGCGGAGCGCAGCGATTCGTCAGCGTCGGCGCCGAGAGCCAGCGGCGTGGCGTGGGCAATCGAATTGGACGGCGTGTGACCTTTGCTCTCGAGCGTGACCGAGCGAACCTGGGGTAAAGCCGACTCGGTGGTGGGAGAAGTTGCAGGGGCATCGCCGATGCGCGCAGCGAGCATCTGCAAGCTCTCCCTGCGTCGGTGGCGCTGTGCTGCTGGAAGTGGAAGTTCGGATGCGGTGATGGTTCGAATGCCCCTCCTCGTCGGCGCCGTCGGTGACGAAGCGGACGGTGTAGGTTCGGCGAAGTCCACTTCCCGCTCTGCCAGTGGCGACAGCGACGGCACATGCGTCGTAGTCGCGCTCCTCTTGTGACTGCGCCCGGCACCATTCGTCTTACCCGCTGGCGTCGAAGCGTCGGCGCCAGGCGTGGAGCGAAGACGTTCCTCGAGCTCGATCGCCTTGCGGGTCGCTCTGTGCGCCTTGTCGGTTTCTTCAAACATGCTCGCCTCGAGCTTACGGATCTGCGACCTGAGTGCGCTCAGCTCCAGCTCGTGCGCCTGCACCACATCGTCCACATGCTCCTTGCTGAAGACGCTCGTGTTGTCCACCTGCACCGCATCGCGCTTCGTCTCGAGCTCCTCGCGCACCCGCGCCGCTTCCGCCTCGGCTTCCTGCGCACGCACCCGCGCCAGCTCAAGCTCCGACCGCAGCGCCTCCGTCTGTAGCTCGCCATCTGCTCGTACCTTGTCGCTGCCCGAGCGCAGCTCCTCGACCTGCTTCTGGATGCCCGCCAGCTGCGTGCGCAGCTCGGCGTTCTCCTTCTTGGCAGCTTCCGCAGACGACTTGGCCGTCAGATGCTTCTTCTTGAGCGTTGCTACCTCGGCCGAAAGCTTGCCCACCTCGTTCGAAGACGCCGACTTGTCCTGCTCCATCGAGGCCAGCTTTTCTGTGGCTTCGGCGAGCTCCGACTTGGCCCCGGCGAGCTCCGTGCGGACATCGGCCAGAGAAGCTTCGAGACGCGAGCGCTCTGACGCAAGCTGATCGTCGTGCGCAGCACGCACGGATGCAATTTCCTCGGTCTTGGCTTCCAGCGAAGTAGCGTGGTCGGTCTGCAGCTTCTCGACGCGCGCGTTGCGTGCAGCCAGGTCGCGACCGACCTCTTCGAGCTGCTTCTGGAGCGTCTCGGCGTGCTCGTGACGCTTCTTGAGGTCCTCTTCTGTGCGGCCAAGCGTGCTTCGGACCGACTTGAGCTGTTGCGAGTGTTCTTCCAGCTCCGTCTCCTTGCGCTGGATCTCGGCACGCGTGTCCTCGAACGCCTTGGAGAGATCGAGCATCTCGCGGGTATGCGCGGCCATCTGCTCGTCGCGCTCCTTCTTTCCTTTCTCGAGCGACGCCTTGAGCGCCTTGATCTCGTTGCTGTGCGCATCCTTCGCTTGCTTGTGCTCATCAGCAGCCACGCTGAGCTTCTCCTGCATGTCCGAAAGCTCTGTGGTGTGCGTGGAGAGTGCCTTGGCATGCACCTCACGCAGCTTCTGGAGCTCGCCGCTGAGCTTGCTGCGCTCTGCACCAAGCGCGTCGGATGCGGCACGATGCTCTTGCGCAAGCTTGGCTGCTGACTCGGAGTGCTTCGCCTTCGCCTGTTCGAGCTCGGTCCGCAGCCCTTCAATCTGCTTGGTGCTGGCCTCGGCTGCAGCCTTGTGCTCATCGGACGCCTCGGCGAGCGATGCAGCGTGCTGCGATTTGGCGTCGGCTAGCTCCGCCTTGAGAGAGTCGAGCTGCTGCTTCGCGGCCTTGGCAGAGTCGGCATGACCAGCTTTGGCCTTCTCAAGCTCTGCTTGCAGCGCATTGAGCTGTTTGGAATTGGCCGCAGCCGCGGACTTCTGCTCTTCGGTAGCCTTCTTGAACGATGCGGCGTGCTGCGACGTCGCTTCGGCAAGCTCGGCCTTGAGGACCTCCAGCTGCTCGTTGGCAGTCTTGGCCGACTGAGCATGCTCGACCTTGGCCTTTTCCAGTTCCGCCTGCAGCTCCTTGAGCTGCTTTCCACTGGCTGCAGCCGCACTCTCGTGCTCTCTGCTCGCCGTTGCCATCGACGCGTTATGTTGCGACTTGGCCTCGGCAAGCTCGGACTTGAGTGCTGCGAGCTGCTCATCGGCGGCCTTAGTTGACTCGGCTTGCCCAGCCTTGGCCTTCTCGAGTTGAGCCTGTAGCGCCTTGATCTGCTCGGCGGCGCCACGAGCAGCAACGTTGTGGTCGTCAGTTGCGGCCTTGAACGCCGCAGCATGGTCTTCACTGGCTTTCGCCAACTCAGCTTTGATATCCTCGACCCGCTTCTCGGCGGCCGAAAGCGCGCCGTCACGCTCCGAGCTGATTTTCGCAAAAGCATCGGCATGCTCGGCTTTCGCTTTCTCGAGTTCGGCCTTGACAGCATCGATCTGACCAGCAGCCTCGGCTGCGGCCGACTCGTGCTCCTCGGCGGCTTTCTGCATCGCCTCCGCATGCTCGGCCTTGGCCTTCTCGAGCTCAGCTTTGATCGCCTCGAGCTGTTTGGCGGCCGATGTCACAGCCGCCTTGTGCTTGAGCGTTCCGTCCTTGGCCGACTTCTGGGCAGATGCAAGCTCCTTCTCGAGACGCTTGAGCGTTTCGGCATCTTGCTTGGTCTGGCTGGTCAGAGCATCGAGCTCCTGTTGCTTGTTCTTGAGAGCCTCGTCACCGGAAATAGCGCGTTCGCTGAGCGTCTTGATCTCGGCCTCGGCTGCCTGCAGCTTGCTCTCGAGTTCCTGGAATCGCCCGACCTTGTCTGCCAGCTCGGCACGAACTTCGTCGCGGGCAGCACTCGACTCGCTGAGCTTTGTCTCGAGGTCAGCGATCTTCGCCGTGGCTGCTTCGATCTTCTTGGCCTGTGCCTCGGCAGCTTTCTTGTGCTCGTCGTGAGTGGCGACAAGGACGTTATGGCGTTCAGTAAGTTCCGACCATGTCTGTTTGACGCCATCGTGATCGGCCTGAGCCTGTTGCAGCTTCTCGCTCAGCTGCTTAGCCTCACTGCGAGCCTGCTCGTGGTCCTCGGAAGACTTTTGCAGCAAGGCGCGTTGCTTCTCGAGCTCCGACTGTGCAGTCGCGTGATCGGCGCTTGTCTGTTTGTGTGCCTTGGTGAGCTCCTCGTTGGCCGACACCTGGTCTTTCAGCTTGCTCGACAGCTCCGTGTGCTGCTGCTTGGATGCTTCGAGCTGCTTGGACAAGCTCTGCGCCTGCGAATGATGCTTGTCAGCCTCACTCGACTTGGTTTCGAGCTCCTTTGCTTTCGCCTGCAGCTCGATTTGTAGCTCTTTGACCTTGGCTTGGGATGATGTCGCTTCCTGCGTGGCCTTTGTCAACTTGGCCTCGGAGTCCTTGAGCTTGCCCTGCAGCGTCTTGATCTCCTTGCCTTGCTCCTCCGCGGATGCTCTGCTGGCTGCCGCATCTGCCATCGCTGTCTCGAGTGCCTTCGCCTTGCTGACAAGCTCGTCCTTGAGCTGAGTGACTTGCGTGCGTGCCGCACTGATCTCGTCACGGGCCTTCACAAGCTCTGCGTCTGCATCTTTGATCTTCGCTTCCAAGGTTTTGACCTGTGCTTGGCTCTGCTCGGCTGAGCTCTTGTTTGCTGCGGATGCTTTGCGAGCCGCTTCCAGATCCTTGGTCGTAGCCTGCACTTCCTTCTGAAGCTCGTCAATGCGCTTTTTGGCGGTGGCAGCCTCGTTTGTCGACTTGGCCAAGTTCGCTTCTGTGGTCGAGACCTTGGCTGCGAGTGTCTCGATTTCTTTAGCCTTGCCGTCTGCAGCAGACTTGTGCGTCTCAGCTTCCGCTTTGGAAGCTTCAAGCTCCATGTGCAGCTTGTCCTTCTGATCACGGAGCTGGTCGCAAGTCTTCTGCAGGCTACTGTTCTTGTCCTCGAGGGTGATGAGTTGCTTGCTTTGCGCCTCGACCTGCTCTTGCGCTTGCGCCAGCTCCTTGTCCTTCTGAGCAAGAGCCTCGCCGTGGACTTTGGTCGCCTTGACCAGCGCGGCAGAAGAGCTCTCGGCCTTCTTCTCGGCGTTTCCGAGCTGCTTACGAAGCCCTGTCGCGGTCCTGTCGAGCTCTGCCTTGTCCGCCTCGAGCTTCTTATAGGCTGCTTGAGACTCGTTGAACTTAGTCGTGACGCTCTTCAGTTCGTCGCCAGTGGTGGCTGCTTCGCGTTTGGCAGCGTCCAGGCTCTTCTGTCGTTCGGCTGTCTCTTGTTGAGCCTGCTTGTGGTCCGCCTTGGCTTTGTCGAGGTCGGCGGCGAGGGACTTGGCTCGCGCCTCGAGCTCCTCAGCATGCTTTGCCGCCTTGTCGAGGTCTGCTCGACGTTCCTTCGCAGTGCCGTCGGCTGCAGAATGTGCCTTGGCCTCCGCGTCAAGCTCGGACTTGACACTTTGTAGCGCCTCTCGAGTCTTGTCGGCTTCAGACTTGGTTGATGTCAGCTGAGCGTCGAGCTCTTTGATGCGCTTCTCCGCCTCTGTCTGCGCTGCGGTAACCTTCGCGACCTCCTGCTTGGCTGCCTTGAGGTCTGCTTCGCTCTTCGCGTGCTGTTCCTTGACCGAAGCGAGCTCCTTCGATGTGGTCTCACTGCCGCTCTTGTGCGTGGCGACGTCGGAGCGCAGAGAAGCCGCTTCCTGCAGGGCTTTGGACTTGAGCTCCTCCAGTTCCTTGTGCTTGGCAGACCATTCCTTTTCCTTAACCTCGAAGGAGGCGACTTGCTTCCGCGATTTCTCGAGCTCCTCCTGACCTTGAGATCGCGAAGAGCTCACCTCCTTGTGGTCTTCCTGCAGTTTGGCAAGCTGCTTGTTGAGGTCTTCGACCTTCTTGAGCGAGTCGGCTCGCTCCTTTTGGATGCTCGAAATTTGGTCCTGCGCGCTCTTGAGCTCCTTCTTGAGCGATTCGAGCTGCGTCGAGGCGCTGCCGAGCTCCTTTTGAGTGCTCGCATGCTGATCTTCGGCCTTGGCAAGCTTGCCATCGCGTTCCTGCAGTTGACCCTCCAAGGCCTTGACCTTGGCCTGAGACTCCTTCAAGGATGCATCGAGATCTTCGGCGTACTTGCTGGATTCGTCGCCACGCTTCTTAGCGTCATCCAAAAGCTTTGTCGCCGCAACACTGTCCTTCTTGGCCTGGTCTTCAAGCTGCTTGATCTTGCTATCGAGCTCCGAGATCTGCGAAGCGTGGCTCTTGTCCAGCTCCTTCGAGTTGCCGATCGCCTCTGCCTTCGCGGCTTCCAAGGCGGCTTGCTGCTTGGTGAGCGACTCGATTTTGCTCTTGGTCTCGGACAGCTCGTCGTCCAGCTTCTGCTTCTGAGCTTGCAGGGTCGTCAGCTCCTTATCCTTGGCGTCAGCCTTGTCTTGAACGTTTGCTGCATCCTGTTCGGCCTTAGCAAGAGCGGCTGAGTGCTTCTCCGCCTTCTCCTTCCAGCTCTTGGCATCCGCTTCAGCCTCGCCGTGCTTCTTTTCGAGCTCGGCGCGCTCCGCCGAAAACTTGGTGCTCTTGGCCTCGGCTTCTTGAAGGCTCGCTTTGGCCTTGGCTTCGCGGTCGGTCGACTCTTTCAGCTTGCCCTCGAGCGTTGACGCGTTGGATTCGGCGGCCTTGGCCTTCTTCTCGAGATCAGCAAGTTGCTTCGACAGTCGGTCGCTGTCCGAGGCTGAGCTCTTGAGGCTCTTGTCCTTCTCAGCCAACCCAGATTCCAAGCTCGAGATCTTTGCGTTGGATTCTTGCAGTTGCTGGGATAGCGCCGCGATCTGGTTGGACTTGCTTGGATCGTCGAGTTTACTTTGCAGATCTTGTATCGCCTTGTCCTTGGTCTCGACGCTGCTACGAAGCTGGTCTGCTTGCTTCTTTTGTTCTTCTACCTCACGCTGCAGCTTTGACCTGTCTTCTTCGAGCTTTTGCGCAGCCTTGGTTTCGGTCGCCATCTTGGCTTCGGTTTCTTTCAGCTTGACTGCTGCATCCTTCGCATCGCCGGTGGCTTTGTCCAATGCTTTCCGAGATTCGCCGAGATCATTCTCGAGCTTTGATGCGCGATCCTGAGCCTGCTTGTGGTCAGCTTCAACTTTGCCGATGCGATTCTTGAGGGATGTTTCCGAGGTTGCACCGTCTTTCAAAGATGCTTCGAGAGCAGCGATGCGTTCGCCGGACTGCTTGGCCTTCTCCTCGGCCTTCTTGAGCCCATCGCGCTGCTGTTGTAGATCCTTTTCCAGGTCAGCCGCCTTGGCTTGCTGGGCTTGCAGGTCATGCTCGAGCTTCTTAATCTGGACTGTGCTGGATTCTTCCGCCGCCTGGACCGATGTTTTGGATTTCTCCTCAGTCTCCTTGAGCTGATGCTGGAGCGATGACGACGCATCAGTCGCTGTTTGTAGCTCCTTTCTTGTGCTCTCTAGTTGCTTTGTGAGGGATTTGACCTCGCTTTGAGCATTTTTGAGCTCGGCATTCTGATGGGAGCTGGATCCAGCCTTCTCCTCAGGACTGACGGCAGATTCTGCCGACTCCTCTTCCGCAGCAGCGCCGTTCGAGGCGGTCGGAGCCGGAGAATCAGCATTGTCCGCATCCTTGTCGCTCGTAGTTTGCGCAGCTTCGGCTTCAGCTTCAGCCGCTGCCTTCTTCTGCGCTTGGTGCTTCTTGAGCTTAGCACGTGCTCGAGCGGCCTTGGCAGCACGCTCGGCTGCCTCGGCGTCGGCCATCTTGACTGCTGTGTTGGACGATTGCGGAGGCACTTGCTTGCTGAACCAGTCGGGCGCCGAGGTTGCGGACGGAACGTTGAAACGGCAGGTCGGTGCAAAGCCGTTCAAAGCAACAGGTGAAGATGCACGGATAGAGTCGGTGGTTCGCTGCAAGGTGTGAGTAAAATGAGGTTCAAGGAAGTCAGGGTCGCGAAGAAGCACAGGGCTGCAATCGCCGGGTGGTCGGTGCGTTGCTGGCCGCCGCCTGCTCAGGCCGAAATTCGAGACGGCGCCGACCTCTGACGCCAACCTGACACGTAGCGCCGCACACCGAGCAATCAATTCTGCCAGCTACCGGTCGCGTGGCGGACCCCACAGCAAGAACTGATGATCCTCTTCGGCGTGTCTCGTTCCAACCACCAAGGTAAGGAGTCGCCACTGCACTCTGCTCTGCCGTTCACGCCCTCTCATAATACTCAATGTGGCAGCTTGACCATCCAAGGGCTGTGTGTTGCTCTATATGTATCCATTTCTGAGCAGCTGGTGGGCTTATGCGGTGACGCTGGCGGTGGCGGATGAAGCAGCGTCCAAATGGGTGCTTGAGCCGTCGGCAGAAGGGTTCTGCTGCTGCTCCTTCTGGAGCGCTCGCAGCCTTCGGGCCTTCGCCGCCTGAGCCTTCCTGGCTGCTTCGCGTTCCTGCTCTTCGAGCTTCTGCTGTTCTGCCTCGAGGCGACGTTCGCGGAAGGCGCGCTGACGCTGCTGCTGCTTTGCGTCCCTGCGTGCCGAGAGGTCGTGCAGGCGTTCGTCGAGTCGGTCGTAGAGCAGCTGCTCGAGCGACTGGGCGTGTTTTGCTGCAATGCGGTGCTGCTGTCGCAGCCTTTGGAGGAAGGCCGACACCTCCGCACGGCCCTGGCCATTCGACTGGAGCGAAGCTGAGCTGTCGGATTCAGCCGACGCATGTTCTCCTGCCGATGCTGGCGCAGCAGAAGTGTTTTGACGCGTCTTTGAAAAGCGCGAGCGATACACCCGCCATGCGGCATCGATGACCTGAGTCTCGGCAATCTTGATCTCGAGGGCCTTGGACAGCATACCTCGGACCCAGCGCAGATCACCGATGTTTCTGCGCGCCGATGCGAGCGAGAAGAAGGGCTCGACCATCAACGCAGTGACAGAGAACGATGGAGCTTCGTAGATGGGATGGAAGTCGGTGTCCATCGCCCGGCCGGGAATGACCGAAACGCGCTGATACTCCGGTCGCAACTGTGTGGCCTCTGCGACGTCCCGGTCGCCGCTGCTTTCTACCTCCTTTGCCGCAGCCTCCGCCAACACGTCCCGCTGCTGCAGATCGATGCCGAGGCTGCGCGCAGTCGAGTGCAGCAGCTCCTCGGAGCGGCCGACCGCCTCCGAGAGCAAGCTCCTGGCAAAGAGCGAGTAGGCGCCCTTGGTCCTGCGCTCCATCTCGGCAGCACGGGGCCCGCCGTCCTGCATCTCGGCAAGCGCGAGCTGGGTGGACTCCATGGCAAGCGCGGCCACCGAGCCTCCAGCTTCGTTTTTGAGCGCCACGGGCGAGCGCAGCGGATCCACCTCGGCGCAGCAATGTCGGAGCAGGATCTGGAATGTCTTGGTGTTGGGCTGGATCCTGTGTGGAAAGGTGTATGGAAAGACGTCCGGGATGTCGGCCTCGTCTTGCACATTGCCGGGCTGATCGGCCTCCGACTCGCGGTTGCGCATGCTGCTGAAGATGTCCTTCCACTTTGTCGAGAAGAGACCTTCGCCTGACGAGGTGGCATCTGTCCCGGTCGAGGCCACCGGCAAAGGCTTGGCCAGAGTCTCGAATGCGGCTACCATCTCTGGAACGCTTGCCTGCTCACCGAGAGCCATGAGGATCGTGTTGAGCGTGTGTGTAGTCGGTGCGAGCTCGGTGGACGAGGTGTCTGCAGTATCGGCAGAGGCCAAGTCGATGCCGTATGCATCGTGCATGAGCATGTGAAGGCCATCGGTGTGACCGGCGAGACGCAGCGTCCTGGCGGCAAAGTCGAGTGTGATCTGATTAGGGGTGACGCCGTGATCCTTCATGTCTTTGAGAAGCGCCATGGTGCGAAGCGCGGCAAGGATGGCTGCTGCCCTGGCGGACGGAGCGAGGATCTGGCCGAACTTGGCCATGCCGGCAGCAGCGGCGCGAGCGGATTTTTCGAGCTGCCTCTTCTTGCCCGAGTAGTCAAAGGTTTTGGAGGCTTCGTTCTTCTGCACTCTTTCGATCTGTTCGGTGGCGTGGCGGCTGAGGCCGATCATGAGCTCCCTGTACGTGTGGCGGTTGGGGTGAAGACCTTTGGTGCCCGACTTGAGCGTGACACCGGAGAGCTCGTTCCAGATAGCCGACATGGGACCGATGTGACCGCCAGTGGCGAGACGGGCGAGGACGTGGTTGTAGTCGTCGAGACTTGGAAGAGAGTCGGTGGCAGAGCTGGTGGTAGGCACGACCGAGGAGTGCAGACGCATGTCGCGGAAGATGATGTGAACCCTGCGCATGTACTCGCGCACGGGATGCTGGGCATCAAAGGTCTTGGCGGACTTTCTCGAGGTTTGTGGTTCGACCAGGATCTTGGTGGGAGCGAGACCCGAAGTCAGGACCTGCTGCTTCTGCTGCAGACTTTGAAAGTGCTTGCCCTCGGCGCGAGCGAGCTTTCTGGACGTAGCCACGGCAGGGTCGATGGCGCGGAGAAGCTGCTGCAGGTGAGCTGGCTCCAGCTGCGTGAGAAGTGCGGTGAAGGATTCGGAGGATTGGCCGACAGCGTGAGCGCCGGAAGCTTCCTTGAGATCCGTGTATGCTTTCCAAGCGCGGTTGGCCGAAGGCTCGCGATCGGTGCTGTAGATCTCGGAGATGAGCTTTTTGACGAGTGGATGTGAGGCGCGAGGCGCGGAGGGTCTCTTGGTCCAGGAGAGATGGTCCGGAAAGAAGAAAGACCAGCTTTCGTGCTGATGCCCTGCTCGGCCGACACGACGAGATTGTGAGAGGGCGCCTGCAGAAGTGGCTTTGGATTGGTCTGAAGGGATGTTGGTGTGTGCAGCGCTCAAAGGCAAGCCGGTTGTGAGCTGGCGTCGAGCCGCGCGAAAAGCGGGCACAACATGCCTGCGACTGTAGCAACGGAGCACCATGATGATCCACTAGCGCACCACGCCGGTGACGGCGGCTCTTTGGGGATGTCTGGACACGACTGCCGGTTATTGTAACATGCGGCCTAGACTGTCGGCGATTGAAACCGACGTGTCGGTAATGATGTGTGCGCGAGCTAGATCGACCACTCTTTCAGCCGGCACTGCTGTTGATGGATGTTGCGGTGCTGTGAGACCCGATGAAGAGGTGTTGGTTGGTTGGTGTAGAGGGGTGACTGGGCGAGATCTGATTGGAATAGCGGTGCCGGGTTGGTTCTGGCTCTCTTGGAAGAACCGGAAGAGTTCCACTTCCCAACTTCGCAAGTCGGGCGAGGCTGGGACCAAATTTCCAACCGTGCGAGAGGGAGGTCCAATCCGAGAGCGGTCGAAGGCCACAGAGTTGCCGCAGGAGGTCGGATCCCTTCCTTCTCGCGCCCTTTTTTTTCTTCCCATTTTGAGCTGCCAACTTTGAGGTGTCGATTTTCTGAAGCGGTTCACCAAAAAACCTGGTTTCACCGCGGGGGCTCGGAAAGGGAAGGGTGCAACCGGCTGGACAGCCACCTGACAAGCACCAAATATGGTTATGGCGCCGCTTGCACGAGCTCTTGGGCCGTCCAGCAGAAAGTGTGATATCAGGCTGATGGTCTTTAAGGTGCAGCATCCGACTCCACAGGCACATGCACGAAGCCAGTGGTCAAGCTATCTGCTGCGTCGAGGGCCATCGCCTGGCTCGTGTTGCCGTCTGCAACCGGGTGCTGCGACGTGCCATTCTCGTCCGAGCATGCCCAGCAGGCTCATGCTGTACCGCTGCCCCGATCTGGCCTCAAACTTTGTGCGGTGATCTCGCGGTGGGCTCCCGCTCTCGCTCTCGGCAAAACCCACCAAAAAAAATCGGGAAAAAATGCAGCAGCAGGAAGAAAGCTTCGTGCTGCAGAAAAAAAAATGCCAACCTTCCGACTGGGAGCTCGCTTGGCCTGTGAACCACTTTTTTTTCTGCTCTTCTGGTCCTTCCTTTGCCGGGCCCCAGTTTGCTAGACAGCGAAAACGAGGCCGTCAGAAGCTGCCGTGACGACAAAGTCGACGACAGGCTACCGATCCTTCTCAAACCATCACCCTCTGGTTCTTCACTCTTTGCATCGTCACCTCCGCATCTCCTCCGCTCCGTTGTGGCACCTCGTGGCTGCATATCCCCTCCAAATCCCGACCCTCCTATTCTTTCGCTGGCTTCTCTCTGCGTTCGCCTGGCCGCTTCGTCACCCGTGCAGCCTTTCCGACCCGAGTAACAAGCTGTCCGCAGGCACCTCACTCGTCTTTTATTGATCGCCCATCTGTCGTGGACTGCGATCTTAAGGCTAGGGCCGTTTCTCTTCTTTCGCTGGAATCTCCCGGTTTTTACCCCTCGGTATTGGCTCAAGCGGTTCGATCTCAACCGGTCTGAACATCTTTCGCATTCCACTGCGTCGTCACCAGCACCTGCCAGCGAGGTTGCAGACAGCCATCCTTCACTGCACTGCAGCAAGCACAGTGTCAGTGAGGCTAAGCTCCTCCTGGGATCCTGCAAAAACTGGCCTTTAGTCCTCTACACGAAAGCTCCACGCTTTCCGGCGCTGCCATCATGACCACCACCATCTTCCAGGCTGCCAACGACGGCAACGTTGAGCTCGTCAGCTCTCTCCTCGACCAACCCTCGCTCGAAATCGACGCACGCGACGAAGCCGGCTTGACCGCACTTCAATACGCTGTTCGCGCCGGCCACATTCAGGTCGTTTCGCAGCTGCTCGCTCAGGGCGCCAACGCCCTCGAGGTGGTCAACGACGACGCCCTCAAGCAAAACCCCGAGCTTGCTGCCGTTGTCAACAACGCTCTGCAGCACACGCAGTCCACTGCCTTCCAGACCGCTCCCGTCGTCGACTCTCACGGTGGCAAGCAGCTCCCCGATGGAACCGTGAGCTACGTCCAGCCCCCGTCCTACCAGAACGATGGCCAGCAGCAGCAGCAGCAGCAGCACTTCGTCCACCAGCATCCCATGTCGCATCCAGCATACCCATTCCAGCCTCAGCACGCCTTTTTCGATCCCTCGCACAACCCGGAGCACCGCGCCCACGCCACCAAGGACAGCTCTTCCGGAAGCCTCCCACCCCCCGAGGTCGCAAGGATGATCCCCTGCCGATTCTTCCCCAACTGCCGATACGGCGAAAAGTGCATCTTCGCCCACCCCGTCCCCGTCCCCGC